AACCCAGATACAAGGGAAAAGTGTGGAAGACGATTTTACCCAGTTAACCATTAATGCTGTTGAAGATGAAGTGAGGGTTAATCAAGAGGAGTGGGTTCGCCTTTGTCCACCAGATTATGAGCTGAACAATTGGAGTGCCATTGAAATGCCTTTGACTTTTGATTTTGACACAATGTAATTGTAACATCTCAATAGCTTTTGCCCAAGGCTATGGGATGATCTTTTTTTGTTTGGGCCATTCATCATTTATTATTTTTAATAAAAAATAGAAAGGATGCATTTTCATTCATTTCTTTTTATGCCTTCATTATTTCCATCTTTCCAAGCACATCTTGCCAACATATCCCATTTCATTCAATTTCAGGTCTTTAAATGAATATGGAGATAATCATGATAACAATCAAGAGGTTAGCTTTGAGAATTCGATTAATACTGATGAACTTGACAATGAAAAAAATTCTAAAGAATATGTTATACCTCCAAACCTAATGAGAATGATTGAACAAGAGAATAAGCCAATTGAGCCTCATCAGAAAGTAGTAGACTTAGTGAATCTGGGAGATGAAAAAAATAAGAAAGAGGTTAGAATGGGCACTTCACTTTCAGCTGGAGATAGGCAACGATTGACAAACCTACTTTGAGAATTTGTAGATATATTTGCTTGGTCTTACCAAGATATGCCAGGGCTGAGCACAAAAATAGTAGAGCATAGATTACCTCTAAAGCCAGAATGTAAGCCAGTTCAACAAAAACTGAGACAGATGAAACCCGAAATGCTACTAAAGATTAAAGAAGAGGTGAAAAAATAATTTGATGCAGGTTTTTCTACAAGTGGCTAAGTATCCAGAATGGGTAGCCAATATAGTCCCAGTTCTTAAGAAAGATGGAAAAGTACGAATGTGTATGGACTATCAGGACTTGAATAAGGCTAGCCCAAAGGATAACTTTTCTTTACCTCATATCGACACACTGGTAGATAACACAGCTAAGCATTCGATTTTCTCTTTTATGGATGGTTTCTCGAGGTATAATCAGATAAAAATGGCTGCAGATGATATGGAAAAGACTACTTTTATGACCATGTGGGGAACTTTCTGCTACAAAGTCATGCTTTTTGGGTTAAAGAATGCCGGGGTAACATATCAAAGGGCCATGGTAACACTCTTCCATGACATGATACACAAAGAGATTGAAGTGTATGTAAATGATATGATTGCAAAGTCTTGTGGGGATGAAGATCATGTCACCAGCCTCAGAAAGTTATTTGAGAGATTGAGAAAATTTTAGCTAAAATTAAACCCAGTCAAGTGAACTTTTGGGGTAAAGTCAGAGAAGTTGCTAGGCTTCATAGTCAGTGAAAGAGGAATTGAAGTCGATCCCGATAAGATACAGGCCATTTAGAATTTGTCACCTCCTAGCACACCAAAAGAAGTTTGAGGTTTTCTGGGGAGATTGAACTACATTTCTCGGTTCATCTCTCAGCTTACCTACAAATGTGATCCCATCTTTAAGCTTCTCCGTAAAGATAATCCTGGAAAATGGAATGAAGAATGTCAAAAGGCGTTTGATAAAATTAAGCAATATTTATCAAATCTTCCAGTATTTGTGCCACCTGTTCCAGGGAAACCTTTAATCTTATACTTAACTGTATATGAAAATTTGATGGGATGTGTGCTGGGGCAGCAAGACGAGGCTAGTCGAAAAGAGAGAGCTATTTACTATCTGAGTAAAAAGTTCACGGAGTATGAATCCAAGTATTCTTGATTGGAGAAAATGTGTTGTGCATTAGCGTGGACCGCTAAAAGACTCAGACAGTACATACTCTACCATACTACGTGGCTCATAGCGAAACTGGATCCCATTAAGTATATCTTCGAAAAACCTTCTTTGTCTGGGAGAATCGCTATATGACAAGTAATGCTCTTGGAATACGATATCATATACGTGAGCCAAAAAGCAATAAAAGGGGGCGCTATAGTAGAATTTCTTGCAGATCGTGCTACTGAAGAGTATGAATCGATGAAGCTAGAATTCCCTGATGAAGACTTAATGACTATTTCTCAACTGGAGGAAGGGGAGCATAAATGTTGGAGAATGTACTTTGATGGAGCTGCTAATACCTTGAGACATGGAATTGGGGCAATTTTGATTTCTCTAGAAGAACAATACTACCCTGTAACAGCGAGGTTAAATTTTAATTGCATAAATAACATCACTGAGTATGAGGCATGTGTCATGGGTTTACAAGCTGCTATAGATAGAGGAGTGAATGTGCTAAAAGTATTCGGAAACTCAGCTCTAGTCATATATCAATTAAAAGATGAATGAGAGACGAGAGATTCAAAACTCGTTCCATATCATAAGTACATTTTAGAGCTAACAAAACAATTTGAAGATGTCCAGTTTGATCACTTACCTCGGGAAGAGAATGTGATTGTTGATGCATTGGCTACTCTGGCTGTAATGATTCTAATTAATGATAATACCGACATTCAGCCCATCAAGTTAGATGTTAAGGATATACCAGCGTACTGTTTTAACGTAGAAGGGGAAAAAGATGGAAAGCCCAGGTATTATGACATCTTACAGTATGTCAAAGATCAACAGTATCCAGTTCATGCAACAAAAAATGATAAAAGGGTCATCCGAAGATTGGCTATGAGCTTTTTCCTGGATGGGGATATTCTTTACAAAAGAAGTAAGGATCAAGTACTATTGAGGTGTGTAAATGAAACTGAAGTAAAAAAATCATTGAAGAGGTGCATGATAGAATATGTGGGGCACATACTAGTAGACATATGATGGCAAGACAGATCATGAGAGCGAGATATTATCGGTTGACTATGGAGAACGATTGCATTGATTATGCTCGTAAATGTCATAAATGCTAGATATATGCTGATAGGATTCGTGCTCCGCCATCTACTTTACATGTTATGGCACCACCATAGCCATTTTCAATGTGGGGCATGGATGTCATTGGTCCAATTAGCCCAAAAGCTTCTAACAGGCACAGATTCATTTTTGTGATGATAGATTACTTCACAAAATGGGTAGAGGCAGCATCGTATGCAAATGTGATACGTTCCGTGGTTTACAAGCTCATAAAAAAAGAGATCATCTGTAGATATGAACTTTCGGAGAGAATCATTTCAGACAATGCTAAAAATTTAAATAATAAGATGATGCAAGAAATATGTGCTCAATACAAGATCAAGCATCATAACTCGGTACCATACCGTCCGAAAATGAATGGGGCAGTTGAGGTAGCCAACTAGAACATAAAGAGGATTTTAGAGAAGATGATTGAGACTTACAAAGATTGGCATGAGAAGTTGCCATTTGCATTGCATGCATATCGAACGTCAGTTCACACCTCTAATGGGGCAACCCCATTTTCTTTGGTTTATGGGATGAAAGCTGTACTACCAGTGGAAGTAGAGATCCTCTCTCTGAGAGTCTTAAAAGAAGTTGAGTTGGAAGAAGCTGAATGGATTCGAGAACGTTATAAGCAGTTAAATTTCATAGAAGAGAAGAGATTGATTGCACTGTGCCATGGTCAATTATATCAAAGGAGAATGATGAGGGCTCATGATAAGAAGATTCGACCCCGTTATTTTCGGGAAGGAGAGTTGATCTTGAAAAAAATTCTCCCAATCCAACACGATAGTAGAGGAAAATGGACTCCGAATTGAGAAGGGTCGTATGTGGTGAAACGGGCTTTTTCGGGTGGAACGTTGATATTGACCAAGATGGATGGAAATGATTTACCCCATCCTATAAATTTTGATGCTGTGAAGAAGTACTATGCTTGAAAAAAAAGAAAAAAATGAGAAAAAA